ACAAGCCATAAAGAGATTAGGGTGCACTTCAATTTAATTATCCCCGCATTTATCTGTTTACAAATAAGAACACATCCATAGGTACTGGGGGAGGGGTTGTTAAAATGTTTACACGTATTGTATGGTAGGGCACAATTTAATCCAGGACTCCTCTTATTTTGAGTGATGGAGTGGAATGTCCAGAAGGCTAAGACTGGACAAGCCAGCCAGTCCCGGACTTGAACCTTAGCATTTACTAACTCTGTGTCTTCACCTGTCTTTCCTTCTGTGCTCCAGTTTCTCCGTCAGTTAAATGAAGATAAGTGTGCCCACCTTGAAGCATTGCAATTAGAGTTAAATAGATAATCTACGATTAACTGCTTTCCGTAGCATATGAAAGCTAGGAGCACCCAAGAAGGCAGATGTAAAAAAATATATATGTGTAGAAAATGAACTGTTACCTACAGCTGCTAATGATGTTTATTTACTTTAAAAATATACTTTACTCCAGCAGTGAAAATACATGACTTTTCTAAAATTAGTTTTACTGCAGGTAGGTATACATGAGCTGGCGATGCTGAGATTCATGAGTGGTACGTGAAAAGACACTGCTTCAGATGGGTCTTAAGAGACATCTGTTCTAACTTATGCATTTCTCAAAATAAACCAAGTTCACTTTCACATCAATCTGGGACTTGAACCCAGGCTTCCAGATGAGGCAAGGGTAAATGCATGGAACAGAAGTAACGCTGTTTTGTACATATTACTGGGTACACAGTAATGCCCCCACCTATCTGCCAGTTTGTTATGCTCTGGTGGTTTTTAAGGTACTGAGATTCTGGAAGCTATACTGCTTATATTCCAGAAGGCAGCAGAACCGCCCATGGTGGTCAAGTGTCAGTGGAACTTCCAGTGAAAGACTTATGAGTCACAAGAGAATGTTCCCAGATGTAGTGTCAGAAGGTGACCCCCACAGGCTAGAAGGCACTAACTACACAAGAGCTACAACAGTGCACTTGAACATAGCAACACTTATGGAGATGTCACGACACCAGACAGCATTGCTTGCTATTGTCTGTAAGACCCCCATGAGTTGAAGCTGACTTGATGGCAACAAAGAATTGCAGCAGCCTCCAGGAATAATCAAAGCTGAGGGCTGAGCAAAGGAAGAGTGAGAAGAATCCAGGTGACTTCAAGGGTGCAAGGTGAGGAATTTGGAAGAGTGAGGAGAGAAAGGGGAAATTGATGAGAGAAGTAACCTTGACATGATGGAGAGCATGTGTTTGATTTGAAGGTTGTCATCTTTGAGAACTATCTTAGTGGGCTTCAACTATGGACTTCCTGAAACCTAAAGCTGGATTAGTGGAGTCAGAGTAGTCCTGGGAATACAGATCTGGAAGAGAATGCCATGGAATCAGAAGATGAAGTTGAATTAATACTCTTTTTTAAGTTAAAAAAAAAAAAGCTTGTGGTAGAAAATATGAAAGGAGCAAAGCTGTTCTGAAAGAGCCACTTGAAAATAAAATGGGGGAAGGAAGTGCCATCAAAGAAGAATCACATTAGGTAAAAGCCCTGAAATCTTGGTTTCAAGGCAGGCACAGCTATCCATTGTCTGACACTCAGGAGAGAAGCCAGGACATACAGAATTGCAAAAGACACCAAGAGCCCTGTGGATTTGGCCAAAAAGAAGCCATTGGCAACTGAAGAAACAGCGTCAGAGATGGGGAAATAAAGCATCCCAAACGCCTTATTCAAGAAATTTGGGAAATAAGTAGGAAGGTGTTTGATAATAGCTGGAAGAGATGGCAGAACAATGTAATGGTTTATTCATAACAAAGTGCTCTATGAGTATTTGAAAGCAGAAAGGGAGACACGGAGGCGAGATTAAAGCTTACTGGATGTAGAAGAAAAACCTGCAGTAAGTCCTGGAGAAGAAAAAAAAAAAGAAGCAGGAGATCAAGGCAAAGTAGAGTCACTAGCATTAAATCCCAAATACGTACTTCATTCCTGATATCCTTAAAAATTTGGGGTTTCTGGAAGTCATAGGATGTTTACAAGGACTTGACAGACATTTCCACTTACAGGCCTTCCTGTTTTATAGAAGAAGCAAGTAATGACACATTGGACAATGGCTAGAGAGTCAGGAAGTGGTCTGCAGGGCAGTGAATTACTTACTGTGTCTCTTCTAGCCATAATCTCTGTAACTCCCACAAAGCCACTTTTAACAAGTATAGCCAAATCATTATTAATTACTATAAATAACGATCAAGCATCATGATTAATTAATGGTTTTAAGGTAGTTCTATTTAATAGAAATTCTATTTAATGATGTAATAATGTTAACTGTGTAAGAATTGATAATAACTAGTAATTATTATTAATGATTTGACTGTGGGTAATTGTTAACAAAATTCACTGTGATTACCATTCTGCTGGCTATAAAATGGGCTTTCAGAGGCAGGAAGGAGGGATCTCACTGCAAGCAAGCTCATCTGGCAGACCCTGAGATCCCTGGGCATTGAGCCTCCTTGATTCAGGAGCCAGCTGTGACAGCAAAGCTGCAGCAGAACCAGCAGTCAGCACACAGACCGAGCAGTAGACTCGTGCCCAAAGAGCAAGGAAAGCTGAGTGCTTTGGGACAGGAAGCTAGCTTGTGGTGTGGGGTGCCTCAGGGTACGTAAAGGGAGAGGTGGGTTCAGTGACCCACAGAACTAGAGACTCAGGTTCAGGTTTATAGCAGAATACCATGCATTTTGGTCATTTATTAGCAGCCCTAAAAAACCCTTTGTAACATGTGTGATTGAACAACTGTATCCTGAAAATTTCTCATCTGTTATCTTCCTCATCATGCCCATGATTGTGAACATTGTCTGTGAGAGTTCTGTGTGGCTACTACCAGGAATTATAGAACCCAGTCACAGAAATAGAACAACATGGGCAAGATGATTGGTGTCAGAGTACAGTTACGGAGAATGGAGGGTAGAGGCATATCTGACCCCAGCCTCGTAGAAATAAGCCTTGTGAACTGGAGGAGGTCAGATGTAGCCCTATGCCATTTCTCTGCACATGGAGGGTTGGACATGTTTGCTCCTATCGCAGTGTAGTTTGAATTACACTAAGTACACACTGTCATAAGGTCATTACTTTTATCATTGTGTGTTTAGTGCCATTCTTCCCTAGTGGGCTTTAGACTGTATGAGGTGAGGACCCAGTGGGCTCTTAAAGCTACTGTATCTCAGCAACTCACATGGTGCCAGACACATGGCAAAAGCAAAGGAGCAGCCTTTTCCAAAGAAAAGAAACCCTTATTATGGAGGTAACACAGGCTATGCATTATTATCTGGAGAGAAATCGGGCAATTTAGCAAGGGCATTACCTCTTCAGATGCCAGTTGGAGAATGAGCTTGCATTTGTCTTAAGTGTATTCCAGTGCATTAAAACACACATACCACACACACATAAATCTACACACCCAAAGCTATCGTTGAAGCCCACAGGAGTCTGCCCCTCAAGTATAGATTGGAAATTAATTTAATTAGAGAATAAGGTGACATACAGTATACAATATTTACCCTTTCTCTACCGACTTGATGGCCAAATTCTTCCGTGAAATGGGAAAATTGTTGAAGGGTATTTTGAGGATAGTTAAAGTTACAGAGCACTAATAGCTAAGTCTGGGGCCTTTAGTGGTCACTATAAATATTATTCTTTTCTCTATCAGGAAAGCTGTGCAGCAGGGTGTATCCTCTCACCATACTTGTTCAATCTTTGCTAAACAAATAATCAGAGAGGCTGGATTATATGAAGAAGAATGTTGCTTTAGGATCAGAGGAAGGCTTATTAGCAACCAGAGATATGCAGATGACACCACCTTGCTTAATGAAAGCGAGGAGAATTTGAAGCCCTTGCTAATGAAGATCAAGGGTTGTAGCCTTTGTTGTGGATGACAACTCAATGCAAGGAAGACCAAAATCCTCACAGCTGGACCAATAGGTAACATTATAATAAATGGAGAAAAGCTGAGTGTTGGCTTGCTTGGATCCACAATCAATGCTCATGGAAGCAGCAGTCAAGAGGTCAAAATGTATTGCTTTAGGTAGCTCTGCTGCACAAGACCTCTTTAGAGTATTGAAGAGCAAGGATTTTACTTTGAGGACTAAGGTGTGGTATTCTGACCCAAGCCATGGTATTCTCCATTACATCATATGCATGTGAAAGTTGGACATTGAATAAGGAAATAAGGAAGACCTTAGAAGAATCAAAGCATTTGAACTGCGGTGTTAGAGAAGAATATTGAAAATACCATGGACTGCTAAAAGGACAAACTGATCTGTGTTAGAAGAAATAAGGCCAGAGTGCTTCTTAGAGGCAAGGATGGCAAGACTTCATAGTATATTCTTTGGACATGTGGTAAGGAGAAACCAGTCACTGGGGAAAGACATCATGTTTGATAAAGCGGAAGGGCAGTGAAAAAGAGGAAGGCCTTCAATGAGCTGGATGGACACACTGGCTGCATCAATGCACACAAACATAGGAACAGTCGTGAGGATGGCACAGGGCCGAGCAGTGTTTAGTTCTGTTGGGCACAGGATTGCTTGAGTTGGAGCTGATCGAATGTCACCTGACAAGCTTTTTCCAGTGCTTCGATTGACATATCTCCAGATTGGTTTGGTTACTAAATTTGTTTACATTTGTATGCCTTTTCTATCTAAAAACTACTGAACAAAGCTGGTAAGTTCCAGGGCCCAGGTAGCACACTCCTAGAGCATGCTCTGTGAATATTTGCTGATTAATGCTATCGTCTAACCTTCATGCCATCAGTTAATTTCATCCCTTTATCAACCTTGTGCAATAGCATTCCCATTTTACAGGTGAGAAATCTGAGGCTTAGGAAGGTTCAGCTATTTGCCCTGGGTCCCCCAGCACATGATGCTCAAACCCAAGCATTCGGACTCTGAGCTTAGCTATTTCTTTTTCCCTGATGCTGATTCTACCACTGATTTTGTTCTCTTTTTCTGCAGGAAATGATGGGCTGAAAATCGCAATAGAATGGTTTATCATTCTGCTGATGGCAGCCATAGTCTTCATCTTGCTAATTCTCTTGCTCATCTGCAGAACGTAGGTGCTCTTATATTTGGTTGCTTGTAGTGGGGTCTGGGCATTGAATTTTTAAAGTTTTGCCATGCATCCAAATGTCTTTGGGTCATTCAAGTAGTTTACATTTATTACTAATGTAAAGGTTGTCAGTGTGAACCCATCCCATAGCAACACAGAAGAAAGGTCTGGTGATATGCTTCCATAAAGGTTGAAGCAAAAAAACAAACAAACAAAAAAAACGCTATGGAGCTATAACACATGGGGTTACCCTGAATTAGAATCAACATGGCAGCAGTGGGTTTGGCTTGATGTTGGCCATGAGTGACTGAGATGTGTAGATTTTAATGTATTTTTCTGTCTTCATAGACAGACTTCTTAAGGTGTTAGACCAAATAAAACCTGAGAAAACTGGGAGTGATTTACAAAAACTAGACAGCGTATCCCAGCCAGTACCCACTTCTCCACCAATTTGTCCACAGTCTATTATTTTCTGTGAAAGTTTTATGAGTTACCAGGATGGGCCCTTTACATCTCTGGTAGAGAACAGCAACCCACTAGAGGCTGAGACAATGGCAAAGCTTCCTACTCTCTGACTCCCAATTATCAGGGGCCAACTTCTACCTTGGTTCTTTAGGTATCCTGCCCTGAGTGGCTAATTGCTTTTAAGCCAAACACTGATCCTAGACATGTCTTGATGATCAGGCATGTACATATATAAATATATTTATATAATGATAGGGAAATAGATCTATGTACATATATTTACAGGTTTAGTATTAAGGTAGCAGATGGATATTGGACCTCTACTCAAGTAATCCCTTAACACAAGAACACATTATTCTAATAACCTGGCATTCTGTGATGCTCACCTTCTTGACACAATCACTGAAGATAAAATGGGTGCATAAGCAAACTTGGATGGTGCCCAGCTATCAAAAATATAGCATCTGGAGTCTTAAAGGCTTAAAGATAAACAAGTGGCCATCTAGCTAAGAAGCAACAAAGTCCACATGGAAGAAGCACACCAGCCTGTGTGATCATGAGGTGTCAATGGTTAAGTTTTCAGGAATCAAAGACACAGAACAAAAAGTCACCTCAATGTGAATTAAGGGGAATGTGGAGTGGAGACCCAAAACCCATCTGTAGACAATTGGACATCCCCTTACAAAAGAGTCACAAGGAAGAGAAGAGCCAGTCAGGGAGCAATATAGCACTGATGAAACATACAACTTTCCTCTAGTTCTTTAATGCTTCCTCCCCTCCACTATCATGACCCCAATTCTACCTTATAAATCTGGCTAGACCAGAGCATGTACACTGGTCCAGATAAGAGCTGGAAACACAGGTAATCCAGGACAGATCAACCCCTCAGGACCAATAATGAGAGTAGAGATAACAGGAAGGGAAGGAAAGGTGCAGGGAGAAAAGGTGAACTGATCACAATGATCTACATATAAGCCCCTCCCTAGGGGATGGACAACAGAAAAGTGGGTGAAGGGAGACATCGGTCTGTGAAAGTCATGAAAAGGTGCCCGGCTATCAAAAGATATAGCGTCTGGGGTCTTAAAGGCTTGAAGGTAAATGAGCGTCCATCTAGCTCAGAAGAAACAAAGCCCACATGGAAGAAGCACACCAGCCTGTGTGATCACGAGGTGCCGAAGGGATCAGTTATCAGGCATCAAAGAACAAAAAATCATATCATTGTG